AAAGAAAAAAGGAGAAAGAAAGAGAGAGGAGGGGCGTGCAGCCTAGGTCACGTGGGTATGCAGGTGATTTATAAGCCCAATCTTTGCCCTGAACAATCAGCTGTAGCAGGGGCAGGAGAGCGACGAGGACTGGACATGAAAGGTCCTTGTTTTCCTGGCCACACACTTCCTCACTGTCTGCCATACACCACTGCCCGAAGGCCAGTGCTCTGCTCTGGACCGATGACCTGCAGGATGGATGGTCCTGAGCAATTTTCTCCCGTGACTCCGGGTCAATGTCATGGGTATATTGTGGTAGTAACCTTATAAATCTCATTTCCAGTGTGCCAGGTAGAAATACAACAAAGTGGGGGCTCCAGACCCAAACAGCTTCTCCTCTAAGAAAAGCAGAACAAGATAATAATGAAGTGATTAAAGATCTAGCCCTTTATGAAGAAGATTTCTCTCATGACAGCCTTGGTCTAATTTTTGAGGCCCAAGTGGCATATGAGTCAGGATATAATTTGTACAATCAGCCAAATATCTGGGTATTTACCTGGAATTTCACTTACTGTTAGATTGCAGTAGAAGACCCTGGGCATCCTTCTCTTCTCTTTCAAGCATACCACATAAGTCAAAGCCACAGTGAGACTAGACCTAAGTAATCCTAATGCCATGACTGTACTGGCAACTGTATATTTATTTTAGTCCCACCTAGAGACCCTGACTGAGATCAGGGCACAGAGTAGTAGTTAGTCTGAAATCAGGCAGAAGTACAGAAGCTTATGCATCTCTGATTCAGCTGGTCTATATGGTGCAACTCACCCTTCCTTCTGCCTGAGACTAGAGCCCCACTGTGGTAGACCCTGATACATGGAAAAGACAGTCCTTGCCCTTACAACCTAAGCACACAGAATAGACAAAAGTTGATAAGGGAAGTGACAAGTTTCCCCAAGTCCCAAGCCAGCCTCAAACCTGCTAGACCAAGCTTCCTAAATTGTTTTATGATACTTCATATTTTTCAGCAGTGAGCAATCTGGACGATATAAGACTGGAGCAACAAAGAATCTGGAAAACCATCAACAACCTCTATAACGAATTCAAAATTACCACAGGTAAAAATAAATAAATACTGGGCACATTTTCATTTTGCTTATTTTCTTCCAGTCCAATTATGATAACAGGGGAAATCATGTTGATGTCAATTGAATATCAAAGGGGCTTGGCGATTTAAGGATATTAGAGTAACTCAGCTGAATCACAACAGAATAGAATTACAACAGATTTATGCCAGTGGAATAAAAGAAAAAAGTGCTGCACACCAAAGGACTGGAAGTCCCAAGCATAAATTACTTTTATTTTGGCCAAAATAGCTCCTAGAAACAAACAAAACAACTCCAAGGAAGTCAGTGTAGTCTCCAGAAAAATGTGCAACATATGCTTCCAGTGAGCAACAGACAGTTGCTTTCTACATGAACTGGAGTCTCCATTAATAATTCAAGACTCTTCCACATTTTACCTTATAGGAGTCCTTTGCAAAGGTCTCTCAAAACCTGTGAAATGTCCAAGCAACTGGAAGATGTTTGAGGAAAACTGCTATTATTTTTCAAATCAAAGTAAGAACTGGAAAGATGCTAAGCAGTTTTGTACTGATAATGGGTCTGACTTGGTTGTCGTTAACACCGAAAATGAGCAGGTAAGCCACCTCTCCCCTAGCTACTCTGTATCTTAATGAAGTAGCGAGAATGAAGCATAAGAGGTCAGATCCTGCTCTCCGTACCACTAGTGTTAATCCAGGATAACTCCAGGAAAGTCATAACAGTTTCCAAAAGTGTGAGCCAGTGAAACAGAGCAAGATTTAGCAATTTACCTGATCCTTCCCTCTAATAGATGCGCCCAGTAGTTACATTAAAATTATACTGGCACAAAAGAAGAATCAAGCCCAGGGTAAAAGATTCTTACAAATGAGAGCTGAGCAGAGTGGAACTGTACCAAAGACAATGCTGCTCTTCCAATCTGCACCAGCTAGGGCTCCGTCCTACTGACTCCAATACAGTGCTGCTGGCTTACACTGGCCCATCTGCGCATCTTCTAAAGACAGTAGGACACTGTGGAGGCAGTTACATGGGGATGGTTTTTGTAAGACATATCTGGTCTGTTTTTTAACTAAGACCTACCAAATCTATTATCTGAAAGGTGCCTTCAAACTGCTCACTGGCTTAAGATTGTTTCCCGTGTCAGCCCTCAGAATCATCATTTTGACCCTTTCCTTTCTTGCTTTCCCCTTCTAGCTGTTTTTGAAAATGCATGTGAACAGGAGCAGCACATACTGGCTAGGACTAAGTGATACTGTCAGGGAAGGAAATTGGGTGTGGGTAGATGGCAGCCCTATTATTACCAGGTAAGTTCCTGTTTGTGCGTGTCCCTGAAACAAAAATTAGTCCTTGAACTTCAGGCCTTTGAATCTAGGGTTGAAAGGAGTCCAAGCGGGCACTGGGAAGCAGACATGGAGCAGGGGGGGGGAGGGGGGGGGCACATGGGGCTGAAAATTTAGCCTAGGATGATTGTTTTACATGAACTTAGTGCAGGGATGGGCTATTATTTGTGCTGGAGGGCCACTTAGGGAGTTTTGGTGAGCTGTCACAGGCCAGGTCTGCAAAAAAATCACTCTCAGGTGGTTTCCGGGTTAGGATGAAAGTAATATAGATATGTCCTAGTGCCAAATTCTGGCAGCTGTTAGTTAGTTAAATTTAGCAGATTTTGTACCTACCTATATCAAGCCAGACTTGGTCTGGGTTATTTATTTCACAAGCGGTGGAGAGCCATTGTGAACGGCGAGACCCAGGTGGAAGTCTCAGAGCAGTCAAAGCCATTCATAGATGCATCAAAAGACTCATGCAAGACAAGGATTTTGTTGGGTGATATCTTTTATCCCAACCATGCAGTTGGTCCAATAAAAGATATCGCCCCCAAAAATCCTTGACCATCATGGCCACAGCCTGACTCCAACATTTTTAAACAGACTTAGGCATCTAAGCTACTGTTTAACAATTTAGGTGCCTAACTTACAGCAATCCACAAAACTCCCACCCACTGTGGGGGGAAGTAGGCCACCTGAGCTCACACCCATAGGCATCTAATCTGGATGGGGCATCCTCCACCCTTTTCAGACCTTGTTTACAGCTTACCTTCATTTGGGATAATTCTTGCTGGACAGCTGCCACTCTTGCCAAGCCTTCACGAGTTCTACAGAACTTTCTTCTACAGAGCTTGGTTTTATTACAGCTCCTCCCACAAGCAACTAGATCAACCAGGTCTAGTCTAACATGACTGGGCCTAACTGTTCTTTTGGTAATACCAACATAACTCCATAGAGACCAATACCTAGTTAGTATACATTAGCATGGTTTCAGTGGAAAGAATGCTGATTCACACCAGACGGGGACTTCTGCCTGTACACTTCACAAAACCTAACAATTATTCTTTATGTGTCAACATCATTGAATACATGAGGAGACTTCATGTAATTTTGTCCTTGTCAGCTTTTGGCTCGTTCCAAGAAATACTGACAACCGTGAAGAGGAAGACTGTGCCAGCATGCAGCCTGATGGGAAATGGAACGATGTCTCATGTTTCTTGAATAACTACTGGATTTGTGAAAAATCACAGATATGCTGACTCACTTCTTAAACATGTTGCTGTTGCAGGATAAGGCACAAAACCCCTTCACTCTTCCTAACCTACCCAGTAGCCAACAGGAATGAACTCCAGCTCCTGAGTCAAAGATGTAGCCTCTTTTGATTTGCAATCGTGCTCCCAAAACCTTCCCATTTGTCACGGCATGCAGGCATCCAAGTGGTGGTATTCCTACCTGAGCCCCACTAACTATCCTAACCTCCACCTACAAACTCAGAATATTTGCATGTGTGAGGTGCAATGGCAAGGAACAAGACAGGTAACTGTGTTTATATGCAAATTGTTATCAATAGGCTCCAAGTGGTAGTGCCCAATTAAAACAATGGAAGTTTACATTTCTCAGATACATTCGGCCCAATTTTTGCTCTGGCATCTGTGTTCCACTGATGAAACAACAATTTCAGAATCATTAAACTCTCAAAAGAATATCATCTAACAGGATTTACAAACTGCTCCTCAAAAGTAAGATTGATACCAGACACCTGCAAAGGGTGCAGCAACAAAGCAGCTGAGATATCCTGTTGGGGCTCCAAAAGCATGCTGAATGTCACCCCCGCTCCAGCTGTCCCATGTGATCATTTGGACTAATGAGTTAAAAATGGTTGCGTCGTAATGGCTAAACATCACACCTTTGTGTGCCACTGTGCCTTAGACTACAAAACTGGGATACCTTAACCCCACCAGCATGACAGGCCTGGGCAGACCTGCAAGCATCACCTTCAGCTCAGAGGTATTGACTGATGGTCTTCTCTTTGCCTTTCTTGTTTCAAACTTCAATCATAAATAACAAGCATTTAAATAACAACAAAAAAACTCCCCAAGTAAAACTCATGTTAACCTAAAATAAAGGTTGAGTGAGAAACGTTTTTTCTTCTAAACAAGAAAGTGGTAATTTAAGCATCACAAAAATTCTGCAAGGGTCTCAAGGGAGGAAAATGAAAATAATTTACTTGGTTTAGCTAGATTCTCAGCTGCTGTGTGCATCACTCCAGTTCCATTGACCTCCATAGACCTCGTTTTATTTACACCAACTGAGGATCTGGACCACTTTAAGACTGTCTCCACTTCAAACTGATGGTGTCTCATAAGTTTAAGGGTGAAATATGCACCATTGTGGCAGTGGCCTTGTGTGGGCCCTCTGTTCGGAGGCAAATTTCATTTTGAGAGTCAAATGTTGGCTATGCTGAAATCAATAAAAGTCTTATGGTCAAGAAGTGGGATCAGAATTTAACTTAGCTTCCAACCTGGAAAAGCCTGGGGTTTTTTTGGAGTCTGTTTCAAAAAGCCCTGACTGTAGGAAGTTCCTCAGTTTACTGTGACCAAGGTCCATTTCTAGCAGATAACACTTCTGAACAAGTTAGCCTCTAACTAACCCTAGCTAACTGGTCACCCTGCCCTGCCTTCTACCTGACTTCAAACTAACACGGCTAACTACCTCTCTCCAGTAAAGAACCAGAATACAAGACCCAAGGCTACTGGTCCCGTAAGCAACCATTGCTTTGAGCAGGTTTATAGAAGGTGGTTAATAGGGTGGGACCTGCAGATCATATACACAGATGCAGACATGACACTTGGTAAGCAGTCATCCATTTCACGTGTCTGAATGTCCTGTTTCAGCAGGCATGCCCGTTTTATCATCCCAGCCAGGTCTTGGATGAAACCAAACCAAAGAACCTGGGTCACAAGAGAACCCATCATTGAGCCCAGTCTTTGCAAGGGACAGGACCTTGGGGGTTTAGCCAGGCAGCATGACCAATAAAGCTTGTAACCAAGTACTTTGTTTTGGAAGTGGATGAGTCTTAAGGAGACCGTGAACACTGTCCCATCCCAGCTCCCTCCACCATGCACCTCTACTTCCTGCTCCTCCCTCAGACCATGCACCCCACTCCTAAGTCCCTCCATACACCACGCACTGCCCCTCCCATGTCCCCCAAACACCATGCATCCCCCTTCCAGCTCCCCGCAACCATGAAGCCCCTCAGCCCATGCACAGAGCTGTTCTCGCCCCTCCTGCATGCAAAGCGCCTCCCCCACATAGCTTCTCTCCCCCATCTCAGGGAACTGTCTCCCCACCACTCGACGCTTCATAGGCTGAAACCATTTGTCCATCACTCCGTCTCAACCAATCAGAATCTTCTCTCAGCTGCTTGGGGTGGGAGTCATTTGAGAAGCCCACCAAATGCCTCCAGGAGAGCAGCTCAAAAAGAAGAGCCCAGGTTTGCCAAGACCCCTGCCAATCTTACTGCTCTCTGCCAATCAAAATCCTCCCTTTAATGGAGGTGGGATGGATGGCAGAGTTCTATGGAAGAGGGACTGCAACTTGCTTCAGCCAGTCCCATTGGCTGGGGTTCCTGCCACTCTTCTTCCTCCCTCTTGTCAAACAAGCGTGATCAGGAAGCTTACTGGTCCCTGGGTAAAAGGCGGGTTTTATACCTTTGGTCCTTGCACTTTGGTCCTTGCACTTTGATCCTTGCACCCCTGCACCTCAACCAGATACATCCCCTCCTAGCCCTATGGCTGGAGTGCCCCCTCCATAGTGCCCATAGGGCACATGGTAGGCCCACAGCAACCCAGCAGCAAGCTCCAGCTACTCTTATCACAGCCCTATGGCTTCTCTTGATGACAATGTTCTGTCCCCACTACAGCCAGCCCTATGCATTTCATCTCATGACTATGTGGGTTCCCCGTGCAATGCTTATAGCAGCCAGCCACCCACCTTCAATTCCTCCTATTCTTATTTCACATCCGTATAGCACAAACCATTTCTCCTCAAGGACTAGACTCTGAAGTCACCTCAAGAACCATCACTGAGCCATGATAAAGAAAGCACCCTCGAATCAAGGGACTGCCAATGATGACTGCAACCCACATACCAGTGACACTCAACCAGGGTGCCCTGGCACCTTGGGGTGCCTTGAGAACTTTTTGAGGGTGCTATGGGGTGCCATGCTCCGTTAGCATTGTTAGGTATGCAAATGTGGTTCACAAGATAAATCCAGAGATTTCAAATAGGCATCCATAGTGGTGGTCTTTCTGAGGTCTTTGCAACAACAAAAAACCTGCTGTTATTTTTATGTAGAAAAAAAAATGAAAACTAACACTGGTATTTTCCAAGTCTAGTCTAATTCCTTGGCACAATACCCACCTCACCTTCAACACTCACATGACAAACCTCCTTGCCTTTCCTTTAATGCAGTGGTTCTCAACCTTATTAGAGTCAAGGCACCCCTTGCTAGACTCCAGGCCCCTCTCAGAAAATGTCAGTTCTTACTTTTCACTTGTTTTTGACTAGGGAAAAATACTAGAGCAATTCTTCTGTTGCAAAGAACTCTGAAAGACTACAGCAGGGCAGAATGTTTCAATACTATGAGTTTCTAACTGAAACCTATGGGCACGTCCTCATGAGTGCACATGTGCAGGGCCACATGTTTCTTGAAAGACAAACAGCAATGGGATATATTTGTGCCGCTGCTATTTGTCCCCAGGCATGCCTTGCACATGTGCGTGCATGCAGAAAAGTGACCTGGGTGGGGTAGGGGAGGCTAGGGCCAGCACCTGTGCTGGCCCCAGCAGCCTTATCTGGGGTCCTAGGAGCCTCCCAGGCAGTAGCAGCCCAAGCCAGATGCTCAGAGCCTGGCCAGCAGCCAGAGCAGGGCTGTGGATGGCCAGATTCTGTTTCTGGCTGTGCATGCTGCTGCAGCGTGCACCACTTTCTTTAGCCGTGGTTTAAAAAAAAAACCCTAAAAAAACCCTGCCATGCTGTAAATTATCAGTGCAGTGAAGAGGTGCATGTGTGCTGTGTGCAGTTCATTGCTTCTCAAACATGTTTGAGGCCGCGCAAACCACACATGTGCACTCATCAGGACATGCCCTATGTTTTTCTTACCAGTGAATCCTGTTTGCTCCCCTAACAGGGCTAATATTGTGTGGCACCTTTTGGCACCTTGAGAGAGTCTCAAGACACCTTAGGGTGCCATGACACCCTGGTTGAGAATCATTGCTCTATTGCAAGGAGCTCCTGTTGCCATTGCAATTCCCATATAGCACCCTCTTACTAGGATTACACTTCCCTTCTGCACACCCCTCATGATAACCCACACTACAGCCCCACAACAAAAACACAGCCCCTTCTGGGACCCTATAGTACCTACCTACAGCTCTCCATGGCATACATCCTATATTCGCTCTGTTACACTTTCTGTACTTTGACACTACTTATTAAAGGACAGAAATCTGATTTTTCATGCAATGAGGCAAAGTTTGATGAGCAAATTATCATTATTCTCGCCGTACTACTAAGACTCTCAGGCAGTTCATAACTGGAGTTGTTAGGCATGGGGAGTGTAAATAAGTTTTTACAGTTAAATGGCACTCTGTAATGCAAGCGTGTTTTCCTCAGAGATCACCTGCAGAAATGTAATTCAAGAAAGTTCATACCTTCCTTTCAGCATTGGCTACTTGCTAAGTCATTCCAGATTGAACAAGGGTTCCCAGTGTTTATTAATGCTGAGGAGGAACAGACAAGTCAGTCCCACACTTTTCAGTTGCACGTTAGCAGAACAGGAAGAACATGGCACAAGAAACCAGACTCTGTTGTCAGCTCTCCTGGTATAACTCCACTGCTTAGCAACTCTGCATTTTATACAGTTCATCTCAGATCAATTTCCCAGAAAGAGATATGGCCAAATTCTCTCCCCACCCCAGTTATATTCTTTACATTGACTCCAGATTAAATATTAATAGCTATCAAAGCACGCCTTTACATTATTGTAATATTGCCAAAATTATCAACTGCATTTAAACAAAAAAGGATATACAGTTATATAGCACACTGTTGTATAGGAGCTAGCATGTTACAGTGCTGAGAAAATTGATGCCTCCAGGTTTAACAAAGATGCCAGGTCAAGTTTCAAGCAATTTCAGGCAAACTGGCAATATTATTTAATCAAATACTCAGCACAGGAGGAAACAAAGGACCAAAAAAACCATTCTATAAACCACACTCCTGGGATTTCCTTTCCTTTTTAGAACACAAATAGCATTGCATTTATTAGCCTTGAAAGAGGACACATGATGATCACTTATGACAATCTTGCTAACTACTCCATACTATCTGTTGTCTTCTGCTGAGAAATGTTTCTTTAAAAAATGAAATATATGAGGCATCTACTGAAATGCCTAAGATGTCGTTTATGGCAATTACTGAATTTACTCATTTTAAACAGTAAATATGGGAAGATGACCTCACATTTCCTTCTCACTCATACCCTGGGGATCAAGTGGCTTCTGAGCACCAGGGGCTGGTTTCAAATGCTTGCATTTTAGTCATCATTCAGTTGTTGTTATGAGTTGGCGAGCCTATAATGACACTGGCACATTGGGCTGAGGTTTGCATTCTTGTTCCACCCACCTTTGCCCAAAGGTAAATGCCATTTCTTCTGCTGTGAATGTGTTCAAATCATCATCGTGGAGTCCATTTCTCCATTAGCCAGTACTGGAGCCTGAACGCGCTCAAACAAAAACTTATACCAGCCATGGCGCACTAGGTTTGCAAAGAACTATAGCTTCATGGAAGAGCTGCAAATCAGTCTCAACAGCTGAGCTAGCATCTGTTTACCCAGCTCAGTTGAGGGAAGCCCTATAGACAGTCTTGAGAGCTTCATAGAGAAACTTTTTCATAGAAACTCTTTTGTCAGCTTCAGTTGGGACAGAATCAGACAATCATCCAAGTCTTGAGAATAGAGATGGCAAATACTGGGGTGAAATAAAATGTATTCCCTCAATCCTCGCCACAGAGCAGCAGCCAGAGACTCAAGGAGGTTGAGAGATTCCTCTTCCATGCAAAGGAACAATCATCTGGTGTTAGCAATGGAGCAAGCTGTTATTTTTCCCACACACAATTCTCTTCACTTTTGCCAGATGACTTTTTGTGTTCCTAGAAAAAAGGGAAGAAAAATGAGGGAAGGTTCCAGGCCAAGTGATATTCTATGAAAAGCAATTTCTTTGCTGGTCAGATGATGAATGTAGGGAACCTGGTACTCTCTGCAGATGTGACTAACTCTCACTAAGTCCAGTGCTGGACTACACAGCACCAGTTACTCGGAAGACAAAACAAGCTACTTATTAAAGTGGTGGGTCTATAAAAAAAGTATAGCTAGATGGGGGTATCACCTAGTAAATCAGCCACTGGAGTGCAATTTAGGGGACCTAGGTTCAGTTCTCAGCTCTGCCACTGATTGCCTGGGTGACTTCAGACAACACACTTCTTCCTCACCTCAGTGTTCCCTTCTGTAAATTAGGACTACTGATTCTGACCTTCCTTGAGATCTATAGATTAATAAGGACTAGTCTGTTCTCCAAGTGTTTTAAACAACCACTAAAAGCACAGTCCAACATTATAAAACACAGCAGCCCAAAGATAACACACCAGAGAAAAAAATTAAAATGTCATATCCTAATGTATCATATAGAGCTGATAGCTTCTATTATCGCAAGAGCACATAGCTGTAGATATGGGATCAACAGATACTGTGTTAATCTATAAATAACTTTGGTGGCAGTAGATGCATGGCAGTGAGATGGGTAAAACTAGACTCTGACAGATTTTTGCAATACCAGCACATGATAGAAGAGAATAAGATCACTTACCATCCTGATGGTGATGGGGGTCATTGATGTAGACAGCTCATAAGGCTGAGATTTGTTGCCAACTATTCCAGTCCTTCTAAACCATCTCTTATACTGCTCTCTCACCTAGGGGACAAAAACCATACAATGCAACCAACAGCCCAGGAGCAACTCAGAGAGTTTCACAGCTCTTGGTACTAAATCTGAACAGAGCAAAGGGACTGAAATGCTTGCAATCATCTTCTCTGCTGCAAACCTCCCATGTAGACTGATTAGGTGGGAGTTTTCCTATCCATTAATTTCCTTGCCTCCCATCAGCCAAATTCTGCATTTGGGTCACACCCAGGCAATGTCACCAAATCCAACAATACTGCAAAGGGTACAGAAACTTAGCTGAGCCTATGCAAACTGGTGCTGCTACCACAAAATCACACTGTTGGGCTTGATGCATGAATTACTGAGTGCACCTGCATGATGCAGTTCTGTGAGAGGTCAAATTATAAATGGTCCTTCCTGGACTTAAACTGTGGGAAAAAGAGGAAAGTTAGGGTACAGGAGCTTGGAGGGGAGAGACTGAAGTTCATACCAAAGACAGGAGCAACCAAGAAGGTTGCCTGCAGCAGAAGACAGAACTGTTACATGCGGAGGGAGTAAAACCAAAGCAAACATGAACCCAGTTGCTTTGCTGGCTGAACATGATTGTAACTGCCGTGGGAACAAAGGGCATTGGCTTTACCTGGCGATTGAGGACACAGTGCACCAGGAAGATAAAGGCTCCCTGAAGGCTGCTGCTGATGGTGAATAAATATTCCATGATTCCATGCTTTGTTTGAAAGAGACCCAAACTCCAAGTGCAGCCCAAGATAAAGAGCTGGGCAATCGCTTTAAATGTCAGTAACCTGGAGAAGAGCAGAAGGAGAGATCACATTGTAACCCTACATAACCCTCTATAAAGTGCAAATCTACCCTGCCTCCTTATGGAAGGTGTCAGACTGCATACTCTGGGCTGGGCTATTCTCCTGAGCACACTCCTGAATAACGCACTCTAGATAGCAACTCTCAAACAGGCCATACTCAAACCAACATTGAGTGACTGTCTCACGTCTTCCTCTACTGATCCCATCCCATTGAAGCTCATAGAGATACTTCCACTGGGCTTTGTGTTAGGCTGTAGTTTAGCTCCCTGATTTCCAAATGTGGAGCCCAATCCTGAAAGGTTCTGAGTTCCACCCAGCTCAGTAGACATTGAAGGTTCTTTGCTCCTGGCTGCATCAATGTCCTCATTTGATGCTCTCCACAGCCTTCCAATTACTGAGTCTGTACTGTACTGGTATTTGCTCCTTTTCATAGAAGTACAGGGATGGTCATCTAGTCCAACCTCCTGCTCAAGGCAGGTACATCCCTCCCAAGCCATCGCACACAAGTCCCTTTCTCACCTATTCCTAGAACTCCACAAACAACCTTGTTGACCCACTGGAAGACAGGTAGCCCAAGGACAACAAGAACACCTCAGCCTGCTACAGGTCAAGCAGGGAGACAAGGGCACTTCAATGTCCTGCCACCAGAAGGTTGTTTTAACTGATCCAGGAGCATCTCCATCAAAGACTCCAGCAGCCAGCTCACCACACCCCATCCAATAGGTTTCATACCTGGTGTCTTTGATGGTGGTGACATCTGTGTTGAGAGAAGAGAGCTTGTCCCTCAGGATCCAGAGGGTTGTAAGAAAAAATATTAAGTTTACCTGTAGAAACAACACAACGGTGTGGCTAGATTTGGTGGTGAGGTACATTGGGTCCAAGATCCTGCCTCCAAACTGTGTCTGACATTAGATGTTTTAGAGAATTCCCCTGCAGCAAGTCTGGGATAACCTGCCCTTATATTAGATTTCAACCTGATCTCTATGCGTGCCTATACAAGAACTGCAAGGCTGCTCCGACATGCTGGAATTCCAGCACGTCAGAGCAGACTCAGTTAATCGAGTCTGCTGGAGCACGGCAATTGCCAGACTCCTGCAACCACCTGCATCTCAGGTATCAGCATCTCCACACTTAAAAATGGTGGCAGGGAGCTTGAACTAAAGCTTGTTAAATGAGCAGAGACTCTAATACATGAGATGCAGTGATGCTTTAATTAGAGCAGGTCTCAGAGCCACTCTAATTAAAGCGCAGACCCCCACCCCACCCCTGGAGCACATGTAAAACTGGGCACATCTACACTTGCACTTTAATCTGCATTAGCCTATTTTAGTGCACGTTAAAGTGCCACAAAAAAACCATGCTCTTTAGCTAACGTGCATTAAAATAAGATAACGCGCCTTTTTCTAGTACCTCATGTACTAAATTTAATGCACATTACCTAAACTACATTAATGAACATGTAGACTTGCTCACACTTAAGTTTAAAAATCTTTTCTGGAATTCTTACTGGCATTAAACTACAGCAGGAATCCAAATATAAATCAATCTCCCCCCCGGAAAAGAACCATAGAAAACTCACTCTACTTATATGCATAAACTGGTCCCTGACAATCTAGTCTAGGGGTAGGCAACATTTTTTGGCCGGAGTGCCAAAAAACCCACAATGTCTACCTTGAAAGGTGCCGAAGTGCCAACATGCTGGAGCCCGGAGCAGTTGTTTGCAGCCTCCTGGCTGCAGCCGGCCCACAGAGCCTGGTCTGCTTGCAGCAGGGCTTGCAGCCTCCCAGCCACCGGCTGGGGGGCGGCTGGGGGGCGGCGCCTGACATTGACTCCAGATTAAATATTAATAGCTATCAAAGCACGCCTTTACATTATTGTAATATTGCCAAAATTATCAACTGCATTTAAACAAAAAAGGATATACAGTTATATAGCACACTGTTGTATAGGAGCTAGCATGTTACAGTGCTGAGAAAATTGATGCCTCCAGGTTTAACAAAGATGCCAGGTCAAGTTTCAAGCAATTTCAGGCAAACTGGCAATATTATTTAATCAAATACTCAGCACAGGAGGAAACAAAGGACCAAAAAAACCATTCTATAAACCACACTCCTGGGATTTCCTTTCCTTTTTAGAACACAAATAGCATTGCATTTATTAGCCTTGAAAGAGGACACATGATGATCACTTATGACAATCTTGCTAACTACTCCATACTATCTGTTGTCTTCTGCTGAGAAATGTTTCTTTAAAAAATGAAATATATGAGGCATCTACTGAAATGCCTAAGATGTCGTTTATGGCAATTACTGAATTTACTCATTTTAAACAGTAAATATGGGAAGATGACCTCACATTTCCTTCTCACTCATACCCTGGGGATCAAGTGGCTTCTGAGCACCAGGGGCTGGTTTCAAATGCTTGCATTTTAGTCATCATTCAGTTGTTGTTATGAGTTGGCGAGCCTATAATGACACTGGCACATTGGGCTGAGGTTTGCATTCTTGTTCCACCCACCTTTGCCCAAAGGTAAATGCCATTTCTTCTGCTGTGAATGTGTTCAAATCATCATCGTGGAGTCCATTTCTCCATTAGCCAGTACTGGAGCCTGAACGCGCTCAAACAAAAACTTATACCAGCCATGGCGCACTAGGTTTGCAAAGAACTATAGCTTCATGGAAGAGCTGCAAATCAGTCTCAACAGCTGAGCTAGCATCTGTTTACCCAGCTCAGTTGAGGGAAGCCCTATAGACAGTCTTGAGAGCTTCATAGAGAAACTTTTTCATAGAAACTCTTTTGTCAGCTTCAGTTGGGACAGAATCAGACAATCATCCAAGTCTTGAGAATAGAGATGGCAAATACTGGGGTGAAATAAAATGTATTCCCTCAATCCTCGCCACAGAGCAGCAGCCAGAGACTCAAGGAGGTTGAGAGATTCCTCTTCCATGCAAAGGAACAATCATCTGGTGTTAGCAATGGAGCAAGCTGTTATTTTTCCCACACACAATTCTCTTCACTTTTGCCAGATGACTTTTTGTGTTCCTAGAAAAAAGGGAAGAAAAATGAGGGAAGGTTCCAGGCCAAGTGATATTCTATGAAAAGCAATTTCTTTGCTGGTCAGATGATGAATGTAGGGAACCTGGTACTCTCTGCAGATGTGACTAACTCTCACTAAGTCCAGTGCTGGACTACACAGCACCAGTTACTCGGAAGACAAAACAAGCTACTTATTAAAGTGGTGGGTCTATAAAAAAAGTATAGCTAGATGGGGGTATCACCTAGTAAATCAGCCACTGGAGTGCAATTTAGGGGACCTAGGTTCAGTTCTCAGCTCTGCCACTGATTGCCTGGGTGACTTCAGACAACACACTTCTTCCTCACCTCAGTGTTCCCTTCTGTAAATTAGGACTACTGATTCTGACCTTCCTTGAGATCTATAGATTAATAAGGACTAGTCTGTTCTCCAAGTGTTTTAAACAACCACTAAAAGCACAGTCCAACATTATAAAACACAGCAGCCCAAAGATAACACACCAGAGAAAAAAATTAAAATGTCATATCCTAATGTATCATATAGAGCTGATAGCTTCTATTATCGCAAGAGCACATAGCTGTAGATATGGGATCAACAGATACTGTGTTAATCTATAAATAACTTTGGTGGCAGTAGATGCATGGCAGTGAGATGGGTAAAACTAGACTCTGACAGATTTTTGCAATACCAGCACATGATAGAAGAGAATAAGATCACTTACCATCCTGATGGTGATGGGGGTCATTGATGTAGACAGCTCATAAGGCTGAGATTTGTTGCCAACTATTCCAGTCCTTCTAAACCATCTCTTATACTGCTCTCTCACCTAGGGGACAAAAACCATACAATGCAACCAACAGCCCAGGAGCAACTCAGAGAGTTTCACAGCTCTTGGTACTAAATCTGAACAGAGCAAAGGGACTGAAATGCTTGCAATCATCTTCTCTGCTGCAAACCTCCCATGTAGACTGATTAGGTGGGAGTTTTCCTATCCATTAATTTCCTTGCCTCCCATCAGCCAAATTCTGCATTTGGGTCACACCCAGGCAATGTCACCAAATCCAACAATACTGCAAAGGGTACAGAAACTTAGCTGAGCCTATGCAAACTGGTGCTGCTACCACAAAATCACACTGTTGGGCTTGATGCATGAATTACTGAGTGCACCTGCATGATGCAGTTCTGTGAGAGGTCAAATTATAAATGGTCCTTCCTGGACTTAAACTGTGGGAAAAAGAGGAAAGTTAGGGTACAGGAGCTTGGAGGGGAGAGACTGAAGTTCATACCAAAGACAGGAGCAACCAAGAAGGTTGCCTGCAGCAGAAGACAGAACTGTTACATGCGGAGGGAGTAAAACCAAAGCAAACATGAACCCAGTTGCTTTGCTGGCTGAACATGATTGTAACTGCCGTGGGAACAAAGGGCATTGGCTTTACCTGGCGATTGAGGACACAGTGCACCAGGAAGATAAAGGCTCCCTGAAGGCTGCTGCTGATGGTGAATAAATATTCCATGATTCCATGCTTTGTTTGAAAGAGACCCAAACTCCAAGTGCAGCCCAAGATAAAGAGCTGGGCAATCGCTTTAAATGTCAGTAACCTGGAGAAGAGCAGAAGGAGAGATCACATTGTAACCCTACATAACCCTCTATAAAGTGCAAATCTACCCTGCCTCCTTATGGAAGGTGTCAGACTGCATACTCTGGGCTGGGCTATTCTCCTGAGCACACTCCTGAATAACGCACTCTAGATAGCAACTCTCAAACAGGCCATACTCAAACCAACATTGAGTGACTGTCTCACGTCTTCCTCTACTGATCCCATCCCATTGAAGCTCATAGAGATACTTCCACTGGGCTTTGTGTTAGGCTGTAGTTTAGCTCCCTGATTTCCAAATGTGGAGCCCAATCCTGAAAGGTTCTGAGTTCCACCCAGCTCAGTAGACATTGAAGGTTCTTTGCTCCTGGCTGCATCAATGTCCTCATTTGATGCTCTCCACAGCCTTCCAATTACTGAGTCTGTACTGTACTGGTATTTGCTCCTTTTCATAGAAGTACAGGGATGGTCATCTAGTCCAACCTCCTGCTCAAGGCAGGTACATCCCTCCCAAGCCATCGCACACAAGTCCCTTTCTCACCTATTCCTAGAACTCCACAAACAACCTTGTTGACCCACTGGAAGACAGGTAGCCCAAGGACAACAAGAACACCTCAGCCTGCTACAGGTCAAGCAGGGAGACAAGGGCACTTCAATGTCCTGCCACCAGAAGGTTGTTTTAACTGATCCAGGAGCATCTCCATCAAAGACTCCAGCAGCCAGCTCACCACACCCCATCCAATAGGTTTCATACCTGGTGTCTTTGATGGTGGTGACATCTGTGTTGAGAGAAGAGAGCTTGTCCCTCAGGATCCAGAGGGGTGTAAGAAAAAATATTAAGTTTACCTGTAGAAACAACACAACGGTGTGGCTAGATTTGGTGGTGAGGTACATTGGGTCCAAGATCCTGCCTCCAAACTGTGTCTGACATTAGATGTTTTAGAGAATTCCCCTGCAGCAAGTCTGGGATAACCTGCCCTTATATTAGATTTCAACCTGATCTCTATGCGTGCCTATACAAGAACTGCAAGGCTGCTCCGACATGCTGGAATTCCAGCACGTCAGAGCAGACTCAGTTAATCGAGTCTGCTGGAGCACGGCAATTGCCAGACTCCTGCAACCACCTGCATCTCAGGTATCAGCATCTCCACACTTAAAAATGGTGGCAGGGAGCTTGAACTAAAGCTTGTTAAATGAGCAGAGACTCTAATACATGAGATGCAGTGATGCTTTAATTAGAGCAGGTCTCAGAGCCACTCTAATTAAAGCGCAGACCCCCACCCCACCCCTGGAGCACATGTAAAACTGGGCACATCTACACTTGCACTTTAATCTGCATTAGCCTATTTTAGTGCACGTTAAAGTGCCACAAAAAAACCATGCTCTTTAGCTAACGTGCATTAAAATAAGATAACGCGCCTTTTTCTAGTACCTCATGTACTAAATTTAATGCACATTACCTAAACTACATTAATGAACATGTAGACTTGCTCACACTTAAGTTTAAAAATCTTTTCTGGAATTCTTACTGGCATTAAACTACAGCATGAATCCAAATATAAATCAATCTCCCCCCCGGAAAAGAACCATAGAAAACTCACTCTACTTATATGCATAAACTGGTCCCTGACAATCTAGTCTAGGGGTAGGCAACATTTTTTGGCCGGAGTGCCAAAAAACCCACAATGTCTACCTTGAAAGGTGCCGAAGTGCCAACATGCTGGAGCCCGGAGCAGTTGTTTGCAGCCTCCTGGCTGCAGCCGGCCCACAGAGCCTGGTCTGCTTGCAGCAGGGCTTGCAGCCTCCCAGCCACCGGCTGTGGGCTCCGTCGCTAGCAGCAGCTGCTTAGAGCCCAGGCTGGCGGTGGTGTGCCGAGCAAAATGGCCTTGCATGCCATGCTCAGCATGCGTGCTGGTTGCTGACCCTTGATCTAGTCTCTTATGCTTGCCATAAAAATACCTCTTATGCACACAATAAAAATATCAAGTAGAACTTTTCTTCAGTATGGTTTTTATTTTAGCCTTCTTACTGCATTTGGGATCTTTCCTTTCTTTAAGTCTCATTTGGGATTTTGTAAGGACAATAGCTATTCCAGGACTATACCTGTACTTATTGGCTTATATTTGGGGGAACAGATGATCTTCCTGAAATTGAACCTGAAAGTGTGGAGTTCATGTGGAGTTGCCCCGGGCTGAGGACCAACTGGCTAAGCAGCAGCTCTGCAGAAAGGGACCTGGTGGTTAGAGTGGACAAGAAGCTGAATATGAGCCAGTGTGCCCTTGTTGCCAAGAAGGCTAATGGCATACTGGACTGCATTGGTAGGTGTGTTGCCAGCAGATCGAGGGTGTGGTGCCAGCAGATCGAGGGAAGTGATTCTTCCTCTCTATTTGGCATGGGTGAGGCCAGATCTGGAGTGCTGTGTCCAGTTTTGCGCCCCCCTACAGAAAGGATGTGGAGAAATTGGAGAGGTTCCAACGAAGGGCAAGAAAAATGGTTAGGGGGTTGGGGCACATGACTTATGAGGAGAAGCTGAAGGACCTGGGTGTATTTAGTCTGGAGAAGAGAAGACAGGGGGGATTTAATAGCAGCCTTCAACTACCTGAAGGGAGGTTACAAAGAGGATGGAGCCAGACTGTTCTTGGTGGTACTACAGGAAGACAGAAGAGGATGAAAGGAAAGAAATGGCAGACCTCATCTGGTGGAGAGGGGTCTGGTATAGACTTTTTCAGGAGTAGACCTTCTGAGGAGGGCAGTGGGTGGGGGTGCAGGTATAGAGATGGGTGCGCAGTTGCGTGGTGCAAACTGCAACTGGTTTTACTGTGCTATGAGTTGCCAAGTAAACCACAAGGGCAACTTAGCAGAGTGTTGGAGGTGGAGGTGTATGTCTATCTATCTATCTATCTATCTATCTATCTATCTATTTTTTTGTATATATTTTTTTTAAACAAAAGTGACAGATGACAGAACAAGGAGCAATGATCTCAAGTTGCAGCAAAGAAAGTTCAGGTTAAATATTAGGAAAAACTTTTCCACTAGGATGGTAGTAAAGTAGCGGATCATGTTACCCAGAGAGGTGGTGGAAGCTCCATCCATGGGGGTTTTCAAAACCTGGCTAGACAAAGCTTTGGCTGGAAAGATCTAGTTGGGGCTGGTCCTCCTTTGAGCTGGGGGTTGGATTAGATGACCTCCCAAGGCTCCTTCCTACCCTAATTTTCTATGATACATCATTGGAAGGATTCAGTATAACAACTGTGAACATTACAGATACTCATTTCAATTTCCAATCTGTTTCTGAATCTTGCCACATACTTGCTGCGTTGACAACAGTATCTCAACGGCAGCCTATAGATGCGGTCATACCATGAAGCTGAATTGTTTCCATGCCACCAGATATGGCGTAGGCAAAAACAAGGTAGTGTCTTTGCTGTGAGTCCTGATCTGCCCTTTGCATCTTCTATGGATTCTCAAATCTCTCAGGTTTCTGTCTCCAAGTTCCGTTCAGCACAGGGGGATTTGTCTAGCCCCTTAACATGCCTTTCCAGCCCTGTGGTACACGTACCACAGCTCATACTCTGGCTTCATTCAAAGTCTTTGGAATGTACTTCCACTTTCTCGTCTGGAAAACTCTGGTGTTAAGAAACTGATCTCTGACAAATCTCAGCATTTAGCATGAGTTTTTTTCCACTGACACGTACATAAACTGTGTAAGACTTAATATTCATTGCTTGCAACAGAAATGAGAGGATGACAAAAGTGATATCTTTAACTACTCACTTTTCAGAGAGTAAAACCATACTTAAAGGTGCCCTCTGATTGCATCAGAATTCTCATTAAGCAAATAGCCCACTGTGACTCATCTGACTATCCATGGGTTTTTTCCTTAAGGCATACAAGCTTGTAATTTACCATTTTCCATCCTTACTCTATTAGTCCTTGAAGAGAGAAAATCAGCTGTATACCCACCAAGATGATAAAACAGACTGGTCCAATGAAACACCAGATAAAACCTCCCTGTTCTGAGAGCCAGCAACTACAAGGAGAGAACAAAATGTACTAAATGACTCTTAGCATTAAAATGAAACAAATTTCCATTTTTCTTTGAAAAATATGAACTCTCTAATGCATACTGGGACCCCAGGACATGAAAGCAGAGTATGTTCATGAGACATGGAACTACAGTTTCTTTCCCTCTCAAGTGGAAGGGTGTTTTCTCAGGCCACAATGCAGGGGCTTTTTCCATTTTGCATTTTGGCTGGTGAATTGGGTGAAGAATTACACCCACATTGTCCCTTTGGGTAGACCCAGTACTTACTGCTCAGAAGTGCCATAGCCTGCTGGGTTGGCTGCCACTGAAATAGCTACAATCAAGGCTGGGAGCCCATAGCCAAATGGGTACATGTATCGCTTCTTGAACTTCCGGGCACTGGTGTAGTTTACAACTTTCAGGTTCCTGACGGTGAGGATGAGCTGCAGCCCCTCCAAGAACATCCAGGTGAAGGCAGCCAGGAAGAAGTAGTGGAGGAAGCCAGCGATGATAGCACATACTGTCTGGGGGTGACAAAGTTCAGGGGTTTTGTGATCACATAAGCCAGAGGTGCTTAATCTTTTGTCTGTGCAAGACAGATGAGTGGCGTGGAGCTGGTCCATGGGCTGGATTGAACCCTGTACACAATGATTGGGCTCCTTGGCCCTGTGCTGCCCCTGCCTGGATTAGGCCCTAGTGCCCTGTGCCACCCCCTCCAGTTCCCACATGCCAGGATCAGATCCCGGGGCCCCATGACACCCCTGCTGGGTGCTGCATGCCGGGATTGGGTCCCACACCATCCTGCATGCCCAACCTAGTACACAGGGCCACAGACCATGGAGTGCCCCAGAGACCCATGGAGAGCCCTGTAGGCAGGATGACACAGAACCAGTGACTGGATCTGGCCTGTGGGATTGGGGTTGAGCACCCCAATGTAAACCATAACTCATGTGGGAAGCACCAAATTATTTGTAGTGTCTACACAACAGCTGGCTGAGCTTGGGAAGAAAATGGCCTCTCCAGAGCTATAAGTAGATCACATACAATAACTGCCTGCTACTACAGCACTAGCAAAACTGTGACTTCTTTCACTAGTGCTGTAGTAGCAGACAGTTATTGTATGTGATCTACTTATAGCTACTTATTATACAAGTTCATGTCAATAAAATGCTGTTTCTACACTGCAAGCCCTGACAAGATACTAGTCATGGTTGACTTGCTGCTTCAGGCACAAGCTACAATGCTCAGCCAATAGCTATGATGGTGAGATGGTTAAGACAGGTCTGTCTTGTTAAGCCAAGCACAAACAGCAGCCAACTTGGCAGCTGCATGGTACACATGCTGTCTCCAGGCTTGCTTCTTTTCCAGGGAAAAAAAAACAGCTTCCCTGCTTAAGAGGTACACTGCAATTCTGGAGGGCTGATTTGGGGAGGGGTGGGGCGGTGCATGTGGTATGTGGGTAAATACAGTACCACAGTAATGCCAGGAGATCCCAATGGCAATGAAGGCCCCAAGGTTCAAAACCCACAGTAAGAGGCAAGCCCAGCTCCACAAAGAGCTTGTGATCTAAAAGAGATGTGACAAAAGGAAACAGGGATTAATTCAGGATGATTTCTTTACCTTGTTGGTAAAGTGACGCACCATGGTGAGGAAGATCAGTTCAGCTACAAAGAGGCAGATGCAGAGCTGCAGGTGGATGGCAGTAGTGATGGACCACAACGAATGGCACAGGAGGAAGGTGAGGATGGCCAGGAAGAGGCACAGCAGGGAGATGCTCAGCCCCACGTAGGTGAGCATGATCATGGTATAACTATTCTGTAACACAGAAATGGGAGAACTTTAAGAAAGAAGAAATCACATTGGAGAAATCAGGACTTTGAAGGAACCAAGTAGTTCCCTAGGGCCATCAGGTGTGGAGCTCTGTGGTTGGAGAAGATGGAAGAGCAGGAGAAGCTGGGTCACTGTCAGTGGAGAAGATCAGAGACATAAATACTGCATGTGGGGAGTGAACAGTCCTCAGAAGATGGCTGGGTTCTCTGGATCTCTTGATGATGACTGTGAACAAACTGAGCCAAATACTGGGCCTACAGTGTGTAGTGCGCAGGTTTGTTATTACCCTGAAATAGAATAGATTTCTGATAAGCATACTGTTAGGTTTACAATAATTTAGATTATTAAGAAGTATTAGCTTTACAGCTGAATACAAGGCATGACCTGTGGCCTAGCAATGCAGCTGACCACAAGGCAGATTGATAGCTAAGCCTTTGCTTGTGTCAAGTAATCATTTTAACTGTATTAAGCATTTTCTGAGTTAAAAAGTGGATATGTGTCTGTGTGCTGAAAAATCAGCTACAGCAAGAAGTAAGATAAGACAGGGAAACCATTGTTCTGGGTGCAGTGGTTGTGTCCTTGAGAAGTATCTACTACTGTGTAAGGTTTTGCTAACATATTATAATGTTACTGTTACTTAACTTTTAGCTTTTAAAAAAAGTGCTAGTTCAGCTTAATAGAAATATGCTGTTACAAAGATTTGAAAAGCACCGCCCAAGTATTGCTATTTTTGTTAACCATGAAGTCTTGCCTTGTTGTAATAAGTATAAAAGATCACCTCACCCTTAGGGGGGGCCATTTTGCCTTTTGCTGGCTTTATGGTCTTTGCTCGAGCAAATAAACAGCTGTCTTTCTTTACCCGCGTTGTCTGTCAATCAAATTACAGCTAGACAATGAACCTTAGGGAGGTTTCTCCCACCACAAGTGGCAGGCAGGGTACTTGTGATTTGCAGGCTGTCACTTCCCCCCTGCCCATCCCCTGCTCCAGGGATCTCTTCCCTGCTCTGTGCTCCCCTCTCTGCACACTGGGTGCCACTGAAAGTCATGGCATGGCAGCTCCTGCGGGTGGTTGCTACTTGCTACCCCTCCCCGCCTCACTGCCGACACTGCTGGCAGTGTCTGCAGGTGTTCAGCAATCGCAGTCGGCTGCCGCTGACACTGCCGGCAGCATCTGCAGGTGGTCACTGACCCCTGGTTGGCACTCGCTCTCACCGCTGACAGCGCCAGTGGTGTCTACAGGAACTCCCCACTTAACGCCGCCGCCGCCAGTGCCACCATACCCCCTCGGCTGCCGGGGGCATGTGTCATTCATGGAAAACACCAATTTGGAAGGGCAAATTCAACAGTAGGGGCATAGAGCAAGAGGCTATAAATCAGGGGTAGGCAAAGTCTGGCCCACAGGCCAGATCCAGCCAGCAGTGAACTCCATTTCCCAGCAGCCCCTGCCCAGGTGGCTGGGGCCAGTTTCCATGGAGACCCAGCAGCAGCCCCACTGTGATAGTGCGGGGCCTGGGTTTTCATGGAGACCAGCCCCAGCAGCACTGGCAGGCAGGGGCGGCACTAGCCTCTTCCTGGTCCGGGGGCTGAGGGGGAGCTGTGCTGCAGGTGGGAGCGGAGCAGGCTCAGCTGCCACCGCCTGTGCAGGGAGGGGAACAGTGGCAGCAGCAGTGGTGCCACTGGAAGGGGTGACTATGGAGGGCTAGAGGGAATTTTGGGGTGGCTACAGCCCTCCCAAGCCCCTCCCTAGCACCACCCCTGGTGGCAAGTACATGGCAAGGCGTAGAACCGCTCCAAAGCCAGGCTGGAATCTTGTGGCAGCGACAGTATGGTCCAGATCCAGGGCAGAGCCGCAATCTGCAGCCTGCATGCCACAGGCAGGGGAGTGTGAGCAGCAGATCGTGGCTGTGCCCCAGACCATGCAGGAGACCATGCACCACTGCAAGGAGCCAGGAAAGAGCCACAATCCACTGCCTGCACCTCCCTGCCCAGGACATGAAGGCTGCAGAACACAGCTCTACCTTGGCTTTGGACCATGATGTCACTGCTGCAAGATCCAAGCCCAGCTGCAAAGCAGCTCCACGCCCTGCTGTGCACCCTGCTAATGCTTGTGGGGCTGGTCTCCATGGATTCCCCAGCCTAGTGCTATCACAGTGTGGCTCCTCCTGGGGACTCCAGGGAAACTGACCCCAGCTACACAGGCAGGGGCTGCTAGGAAATGGAGTCCAGCCACCAACCAGATCCACTATTTTGCCCACCCTTGCTATAAGTGGAATGCAGCCTCTCTAGATGCACTGGCTTGAATATGGCTGCTTTAAATTAATAGCCCCACCCTCACCAAATCATAGGAAAGTCAGTCTTGGAAAGGACCTCAAATCACTTCTAGTCCAGGCCCCTGCTCAAGGCAGAATCAGCCCTGACTAAATCAGCCCAGCCAAGTGTCTGTCCAGCCTGCTCTTAGACATTTGCCAGGATGGAGATTCCACCTCTTCTCTAGGCAGCCTGTTCCAATGTTTGCCCACTCTCAGAGTCTGAAAGTTCCTACTCATCATCAACCTCAGTTTCCCCCACTGCAGCTTGAGGCCAGTGCTCCTAGTCCTGTCCCCTGTGGCCACAGAGAAAATCCCATCTCCATCCTCTCTGTCATAGGCCTTCACAGACTTGAAGACTATGATTAGTTTTCTCTTCTCCAGACTCAAAAACCCCATGTCTTTCAGCCTTTCCTCATAAGTTTTGCCTCCCAGCCCCTAATCATTTTTGTTACTCTTTGCTGGACTCTTTCCAAATGCCCATCTCCTTCTTGAAGTGCAGAGCCAAAAACTAGAAACAGGACTCCAGGTGAGGCCCCACCAGGTCAGGTCCAAGCTCTTTATGGGCCAGATCCAGCCTCTGCCAACCCCTGCTCTCTACCATCTATGTAAAGTCCAGTATGGTGGCTCAGTGAATTCAACTGGTATTTGCCTTCACAGATGGCTTTGGAAGCCACAACTACATTCATAACAAATAGATATGGGGTAGAATCTATAGAGGTGTTTTGGTATCCAACTCTTATTGATTGCCATGAGTTTGGTACCTATCTGTCTTGAAAATTTTAGCCCCAACTCCTTTGGCTTTGGTGTCAGAGTTTTGGTGTTGAAGGCCTTCAGGTTTGGTTCTTGCCCATCACCATGGCATCTGTGTTTGCCCCACCCTGGTTTGTTAGACATGAACTCTGATTGTGAAATACCTTGCCAGTCGTCGAACCCATCAAGATGCCAAAGGTGGTGAGATGGTTGCATGTGCAGGTGGTATGTGTCCTGTTCACAGAAGAAACAGTGCAACCTTCCGTAGACCAGATACTTTTTTGGTCTACATGTTTCCAGTAAACACAGAAAGTCTTCACTCCTTCTTCCTTTTCCTAGAAAGATAATTGCAACAAAAGGATCATTTTCATCTATTAAAGATCTGTGGACTAACTGAGACAAAGCTGGAACTGGTGGGACCCAGGGTTTGACAGGTGTAGGACCTAGGGTGAGAACTTAAGGCACCAGGGTGTGATATTAGGAAATATGGATAACATCTTAGTTCAACTTCCAGCCCATGGAACAATGTCATCTAGCCTGTGAGGCTCCCCACAGGTCTAGAAATTTGGCCATAGGGGAGTGGTGGCAATTAATACTGTACCACACTTTGATTCCTGCTCCGCCAACACTTCGAAACCAACTGCCTGAGAGGGGCAGTGGCATTTCTATTCAGGCAGTGCTAAGGAAGTCAACTGACTTCATGGCTCATTACCATCTACCTCAGTGGGGGCCAACCTTTTTGTCAGGCACACTACAAAATTAGCCTCACACCCTCCCCAACTGCTAGTCCAATCCCTTAATTGCTGCTCAATTTTCTGCTCCCTGCTCTATCTGCCATTTTACTGCCTGTCCCCTCCTCCTGTCTGCTGCATGCCCCTCACAGAGGCTGCCCATGACACTAGCAGCATCCGTGCCACAAGTCAGCTACCCCTGCTCTATCTGCTCCCTGCTAATCTCTTCACTTCACAGGTGTTAACAACCTCCTTACCTTTCTAATGGGATTGCTGTTCCATCACTCAAGCTAGCTTTTTTCTGCAATGTTGCTATCTGTTAGCCATTTCTCCTAATATATCTCTTCTATTTCACAACCCTTGCAGCCTGTTTTTAGCTCTACCTCAAAACCTGAACTCAGGTGTGATCAAATCAACTCAGGTGGACATGAATTCAGGTATGGAAATGACTGACAGTGAAGTCTGGATGCACTATCAAGATGCTTCCCAGAATGGAGGAAGGGAGTGCTACCCACTTGTTTGTGTTTCAAGATGAAGTTGAAAGGCTTGGAGAGGTTTCTGGGTTTCCCAACAGTCCCGCTAACCACCGCGGAATTCAAGCGAATGTCATCAATGTTGTCATCAACCATGATCTCACTCTTGTCAGTGGATCCCAACAAGGATTCGAGGGCGGTATATTCTATGAAAGCCACAACTCCAGACCCTTCAGGAACAGAAAAGAGAAAGGTGATGTCAAGCAATTGTAGATCTTGCCAGAGTATGGATTAAATATAAGCCCTGATCAAAGCACATACAATTGGTATAAAGGCTTTGCTAAAAGCCTTGACCAAAGCAGGCCTCACCAAAGACTGACCTCATACCACCAGGGTGCTTGTGAAAGGATGTCCATGTTGATTGTTAAGGTTGATTGATGAGGGGAAGTGCTAAAGAGCCTAAAACCTGATGCTTGTTATGTAAAGGTCTGATGTAAACAGAATTGCTTGATCTATTTATAAGAAGGGCTGGAAACTCTGGAACTTTGAATTACTTAAGGACATAAGAGCTGCCATTTCCTGGGCCAGACCCTAAGTCCATCTTGCCCAGTTTCCCGTGTCACACAGTGGCAGAGGGCAGATGCTGAAAGGGAGAGTGAACTTGCAGCCTCCAGCATTTAAGGTCTAGGGAGTTCTGATTCAGAGGCTGTGACCCCCACTCCCATGCTTAAAAGCTCCTAATGCCCCTTTCCTCTGAGAATGTGTTCAAACCCTTTGTGAATCTGGCTGAACCCTCAACTTCCTTCTGTTAGTTTTAAACTTACTACCTACTGGTTCCATGTTGTGACCCCTAGGTCTTGTATTGAGAGAGACAGTCAATAATAAATCCCTAGTGACTTTCTCTTCACCGTTTAATATTTTGTCCCTTGCTTCTGTCTCTCTTTCTCCACATGGCATCAGTTCTGATAGCCCACAAAATATTCAGCAGCTTGGTGGAATGAAGCCACCTTTTGAACTCAGTTCCTCCCAGGTTACCCTGGGGTTACACCCACATGTAAGTGCCCTGCCACATGTTCAAGTTAAAGCTGACAGAAACCAGCCATAAAGTTGTTACACATTTTCAAGAACTAACTTTGAAGCTGGTTGGCTCTTTCTATAGCTGGATGGACATTTTTATGGCATGATAATTACTTTGTATGTGTGGATGTAAACCCTTGTCATGTCTCCCTATAAGGATCAATTTTCTAAAATGAACAGGCCTGGCCTCCTTAGTCTCTGCTCATATGAAAGCCCCTTCAGACCACTATTCATCCTTGTTGCCTTTCTCTGGACTTTCTCTAGTTTTTCTATATCCTTCTGGAGGTGTGGGGACCAGAACTGGGCACAAGATTCAAGGTGTGGATGCACCCTGGATTTATAAAGGGGCATCATGATACTTCCCATTTTGTTTCCAATTCCATTCTTAATAATCCCAAACATTTTGTTTGTCCTTTTGATGACTTTTTGATGTTTCTAGGCAACTGTCCACAGTGACTCCCAGATCTCTTTCCTGTGTGGTAACAGCTGATGTAGAGCCCATCATAGCATAGCCGGAGTTTTTTGTTTTGTTTTGTTTTGTTTTTGGGGGGGGGGGGTGCCCCTGTGCATAACTTTTACAGTGAATAGGCCATGGGAAGGCTATACATGGGATGCATCTGTGTCTTACCACCAACATCCAAAGCTGGTCATCTTTCGATGGTTGTGGGATCAAACTTGTGCTTTGTCTGTAATAAACCTGCCTGAGCCTTTGCCCCTAGACCGATCTATGTGGTCATTGTGTGTGTGACATCAAGGTCTCAGAGAGGACAGGCTGGCTGCAATAGCAGCATAGGCAGCACCCTGACAGAGCGCTCTCACACACAGAATTACATGCACCAACAGAGAACATGGAGGAACAACAGACAGATCATATCCTCAATGAGCTGGAAAGAGCTCTCAGCCGACATGAGAAAAACATGGGTGCAGAGAGGGAATGATGTCCTCAAGAGGACACAGCACCGTGGAGACTAAAAATCCAGGCTCCTTTACCTCAATCCCAGCCCTTCTGCCCTAACCAGAAAGTAGCACTACAGGCCTCCTTGGGGCCTGTAGAGATAGAAGTTATTATTTACAGATGTTCCCTCACAAGAGACAGAAGAAACTGGGAACTGCAAGATGGACCCTTTGTTAGAGAGCAGCTAGCTAGGTCAAAAGACACCAAGGATCTGAAGAGGTTTCCTACTGCCCCACAGTGAAGTTCATTGTTTAGTTCTCATTCACGTATACCTGTTTACTGAAGCCAGCAATTATTACACAGCCCACCCCTTCACTGCACTATATCGCTGGAAAATCCACACCCATCCTACTGGGTTTTGCTCCTCCTGCCCTGTGTATCAAGGGGGACCAGAAGGTGTGGCCATGCAGCTGACAACCCAAGACTCCCTTCCAGGCCTAGTTTCAGGTCCTTCTGGACAATGGGTTAAAGGATTTAATTTCAGACTTGGATTTGTGGAATTAATCAAACTGATTTGATTCCTTCCATGGTTCATCAAAACTCCAGAGGAGAGTACCTGGTGTGATGGCTCCTACAACCATCTGGCAGTCAATGCTCATGGTGTCCTCTTTAACTTTCAGTTCGATTGTTTTTCTTTCCAGACAGCCATTTGTAATGAGTTGGACAGCAACATCTAGAGACAGAAAGATGTGTTCCTCAGTCCAAGGCTTGGAAAGTGGAGAACCCATCCCCATTCAGGGCCAGATTCTTCACACCCTCACCTGACATAGCGTCATAGCTGGAAAAGTATGCCAGGGACCCTTTTTTGTCCTGGGTCTGCACAACCCAAAGGAGTCCTGGTCCAGGATTAGGGTCTGGATTAGCAGTCAAAGCAATGCACATTATGGTAGTTCCTGGAGCCTGTAGGGA